AGGCGAAACCGAGAAAAAACGTTTTGCAAATATTGCACAAGTTAATATTATCACTATGTTCGTACACTATAATAATACTATAAGTATGAATATATATAATATTATTAAAACCTATATTATATTGCCAATAAGCCTACTAAAAAAATAACAACATGAACGTGACATTGAGTTACATTTTGTTCCGTTAAGTTACAAAATTTCTAAATGGAACGTAACGATTTTGCCGTAACTGAGTTATATGCTAATAATTTTCGATTTTTTAAATCAATTTAACTTACTAGTTAACATATTTCAAAATTCACATATACATATAGAGAAATATAATAATAAAAATTGAATTTCATTATGGTCGATTTCTAGGACGTGGCTAAAACAGATATTTGTTCACATATAAAGCCCCTTTTTTTGAGAGAAAGCAAATATATTAACAATATTGAAACATATTTTGGGTTTATCTTTAATTTAACATCAAAATATAGTTTCCAAAACATTTAAATCTTATAAAAATATCATATTTACTTTTGGGACATGGGAAAAATCCATATCGACAACAAAATAAAAAATGCCCTTTAATAGGTTTTCACTTTCTTTATGTTCTTAACTATGCGTCGTATCAGAAAAGGGGTTTTACCAGTAGACGCAGCTTGAAATTCCCTATCGATTGGCGTTAATAACTCATTGTCACAAAATTTGTCAGATAATCGGTTTTAGTTGTAAAGGATTATAAGAGATATAGGAATTATTGCAATGAGATACTGAGAAGACTTAAAACGGAATACGAGAAATTTAAATTACAAAAGGCAAAACTAAACTAAACAAACACCAAAAAAAAAATGATCTTTTAAAAAGTTTCACCAATTTCCTAACTTTCTCAATAATGCCCGCATATTCTGCATCTAGGTCTACTTCTATTCTGGGCATAGAGCAATGAAAAATATCATCTTCTAAGTCTGAGCCTGTTCTAGAAATTTCGTCCATTGCCAAAGGAATCATCGTCGTTTTCTTCATTTTTAGATTCTATGACAGGTTCCTCAACATCAGTTTGTTTTTCATAAATAGTATCTATTATGCCAAGTTGAACTCCATGGGCATAGGAGAGCTGATGTGAAAGTGATATTAATCGACCCAACTTATTCATCGCACTTGCCCCATCTGTAGTAATATTGATAATATCTGTTTATGCCCAAATTTGGTAATTTTGAACGCCATCCAATTGCGTTTGAGCTGGCGCGTCACCCGATATTAGCAGGTGAGAAAAACGCCGCCAGGTGGGGCGGCGGTGTGCGGCTTGTGTGGTTCGACGCGTGGGCGAAGGAGAGGAGTAGCTCGCTGGCCGCGATGCGATAACCGAGATACGCGGGTAATTACCAGCGTATCTCGGTTATCGCGGCTGAAGTTCACGCGACCTGTAGGGTCCAGATGGTTAGATTTAGTGCGTGCTACTTCGCTCCGTGGATATGTGAATTTTGCAATATTTAACTTGTTCGGGTGATGCGGAATTGTGCACGCGCGCGCCGAGTAGATATACGGTCTAGGATTCGAACCGCGCATTCCTTGTTCGAGAGCGTATCCCGGTTGATTGTCTGGAAATCATTATAATTGTGCCGTCGCGTTAAGTGCCCTTTTTTGTGTGTTGGCTGGTTTGTTAATTTACATGTCAACGAGGCGTATTTTAAATTCTTTTCGTGGCGTGGTGTTTTGGTATCGAATGAAGGAACTTAGTTGTGTTTAACGCTGAACCGTATGACTCATTAAGAGATCGCGTTAGTTTCCTATTTATAATTTTGTGATAAGTGAATCCGGGACATTGAATGTCGAATTTTGAACTATTGTCCGTACTGTGTCGGGTATCACGTGTTCGATTCTACGGTGAATGTGGAATTAGGCGAGTTTAAGTTAGTTAAATGTACAATGAAGCTAATAGACTGAAATAGTGACAATGAAGAAAGAAATGGTCCAGCGGTGGAGCCTGCTGGAGCGATGCAGCATTGTGGGGCAGCCTGGAACTCTATAGGCCGTAACAATATCTTTTTCCAGAATAAGCCAAATTCGATTAACTTTGTTTTCAAAATTCTGACACCACTCAGCAGACATACTTCCAAAGACTCGAATCAGCCCCAAGTTACAAAACATAGTATTGCCGTTTAAAAATGTGTGTACGTTTACATTCATGTATCGCTTGTTCATAGAAGAAGTCCACTCATCAAATGTTAGCGTAAATCTGAGATCATTCTCCTTCAGTTGAGCCAATTCACGCATTATTTTCATTTTCAATGTCATGTCATAATTCATAACTATAAGTTTAATTGTGTTTGGGGACATAGACAGTTTGTGTCCAGAAGAACTGAAGAGATCTCTCATATCTTTGGAAGTACAGAAAACGCGGAAAGGTAGCCATCCTTGGCTACCATTCTTGATATTTTTTTATCCATAGAAGTATCTTCAACCGGGAGGAAATGATCAGTAATTTTTGCCTCTTCTTTCTTGCTGGTGGCACTGGTGCAAACGATCCTGGTGATTGTGGACTAACATTCGACGTAGATGCGGATGCTGTTATTAATTCCATGTTTTGATTAGTAGGCCCAGTATTTGATGATGGTGGTGACATTCTTCGTTTTCGTGTCAATTTTATGAATCGATATTAAATACACATGTAAGGCACGCGGAGATCGATCTTTGGTTTGAAGAATCTTTTTACAAAATTTGCACTTATCACTCAATCCATTTTTCGCTCTCAAAAAGTATTTCCATACATCGGTCACGCTCTCATAGTCTTTATAAACTATATTCGCCGACATTCTTCGTTATTCCTCTCGTAAACACAAGAAACTTTTTTGTATAAATAACCAAAAAAAAAATACTCTAATGCAATCAAACTCAATCACGTTAGCTAGCAACAACCATTAGGAAACAAAACAAATGCGTGCTGATGACGCTGCACGCCGGCTCAATTTTCGACCAATCGCACGCACGAACGAGTCTGAGAGACATCTCATCCCGCGACCGAAACGCACCGAACGAAACTGACAGATCGCAACTCCGTCCGTGTCAGTCAGCGCTTCGAATAAGACGTTTTTATGCTCGAGTGAAATCTCGTTAAACTCGCGAGATTTCGCCTTTTTTTCGTCCGAGATCAATCTCGCTAAAAGGGCCAAGATCTAACGAGATTGCATTCCCTGGGTGAAATAGCAGCTTAATGCTGATGTGTTTTATATGGTGAGTGTAGAGAACCGGAGACGATATCTTAGTCCTCATGGGTGACAACGACCCTATATTTTGATTTTAAATGAATAAATGTAAGATGTCTATGGGTTACAGCATCCCTTTACCATCAGGTGGAATGTGTGCTCGTTTGTCATCCTTAGTCCTATATATACACACAAAATTAACAATTTTATGGGTGCCGGTGGAGAAGGAACCTGGGTTGCAGCATACTGTGAAATTTTACGGCATACTCCTAGCCCCTGAGCTTGTTTTGAGTTTTTGTATGGCCTACAAATAATTCCTCTATCTTAATCATTCCGTAAACTTCATGAGCATGAACATGGAAGGACCTCTCCCGATGTAGGGATGATTTGCCTTAGTCGTCACGCTCGACATAGGAGTGAGGATCGCAGAACCAGACGTGAGCACCTCAGACAACCCGTCGCCGGTCTGGATATTTTACATTTGAAGTAAAAGAGGTGGTTATACTCCCATCTGTCGGAAGCCATTAGATTTTCCAGGCAAACCCACAGTCGCTTCTTACGAAACCCACGCGACAATATGTGATGATGAATTCTCTTACGCCGCACTGACACGACGACTTCAACTATATATACTTACTGTACTACAAAATAAATACAGATCATAACGTATGTATGTATAACACTAGTTCTGTGTGGGATTCGAAACAGCGATTATATAACATAGTCACTACAATGTCATCATTATCATTTGAATTTAATTTCATTACCACTCTTTCACTCCAAAAAATAAATGTGATTGATATTATTCAGAGTGATTAACTAAAATACCTTATTTAGTATAATTATGTAAAATATATTATAATTTCTCTATTTCTCCTGGGTTAACTGGTAGAGAATGCCATAAGGCATAAACTCCGCCCATTGTAAACCGTTTATGATGTCTTACAATGAAAATGCAATGTCTTACGGTAAATTAAATGTTTGTTGTGTCTTTCAGAACAATATATCACAACGACAAATAATTCTTCAAAACCGTCTGAAAAAAAGATTAAATCCAATTCTACTGATAGGAACATAAACGATGTACGTAAAGGAAACCTCGATTTTGAATGTCCTACTATTAAATCAGTCCCTAAACTGAAAAGAGATAACCAACCAATTAAAAAAAAAGGAAATCATCCAATAGAAATTACGAAAAAGAAAAATTTGAAACGAAAGAGTGTAAATATACTTACGAAAAAAACAGAGGCATCAACAAAATACATTTTTAAATGTGATGATTGTTGTAAAAAAATGTCTACAAATTACATTTTCCCCAAACACATTTCATACAGTTATCAAAAGTCGCAAAATAACTCAGACACCACTGCAGTTCGGACACAAGTTGAACAAACTCCAGTGCCACAACTAACGGAAATATTTCATTGTGATATTTGCGAATTTAAAACATCTCAAAAACGTCGCATTTTGGCACATCTTATAGTTCACGTCGCTAAACAAGTGTACTATTGTAATAATTGTGATTATAAATGTACAAATAAAAGAAATTTGTTATACCATATGAGAATACATACCGGAGAAGAACCTTTTTCATGTAATATTTGTGATTTTAAATGTATTAAAAAAAGTACTTTGCAAACACATATGAAAATACATACCGGAGAAAAACCTTTTTCGTGTCATGTCTGTGAATTTAAATGTACACGAAAATCTCATTTGAAAAACCACATGAAAAGACACACCGGAGAAAAACCTTTCTCGTGTAATAACTGTGAATATAAATGTATTACAAAAAGTGGTTTGCAAAGGCATATGAAAATACATACCGGAGAAAAACCTTTTTCGTGTAATATCTGTGAATATAAATGTATACGAAAATCTGACTTGAGAACACACATAATAAACCATACCATAGAAAAACCTTATTCGTGTCATATTTGTGAATATAAATATATTACAAAAAGTAAATTGCAAAAACATATGAAACTACATACCGGAAAAAAAATTTTTTCATGTAATATCTGCGAATATAAATGTATTCAAAAAGGTAATTTGCAAAGGCATATGAAAACTCATACCGGAGAAAAATCTTTTTCGTGTAATATATGTGAATATAAATGTATTACAAAAAGTTGTTTGCAAAGGCATATGAAAATACATACCGGATAAAAACCTTTCCGTGCCTTATGTGCTAATTGATAGTTGATACTGCATTTATTCAAGGGCTAATTCAAAAAAAAAATGGAACTGTAAAATATTTACCGAATGGGAGGTTGCTGGAAAAAAGGACTTGTTTTTTTAATTTTTTTTATTTGATAGCTTGTGTTTTTCCTTTTTCGTTTAGACGTTTATCTTTACCTTTACAGCTTTTAAAACTATTTTTTTTTTCTGAAAATAGGCTTCCCCTATGGATTGCCTCATAGGGGGGATATTTGTCATAGTTGCCGAGCAGGTGGATGGGCAACAGCGGTATTATCACTGACCTTATATATACATGTACGCTGGCCGGGCTATGTTATACAAAATGCTTATGCCGATTTGAAGCGCCCTCATTGTCCGTACCGGGAACTAAAATTGGCATAATATGCCAAAGTCTGTTGTATTATTTAAATTGTATCTCTGTATTTTGAATTTTTAAACTAAAAAATGAAAGTATTCTATGTGGTTTGATTATGTTTAATTTTAGTTACATAATAAGAATTATTTTTATTAATAATGAGAGTGTACGTAATATGTAAAACTCGTTACCAAAAGGAAAGTGGGATAACATTCCACAAGTAAGTGAATTTGTATCTAACATTAAGCAAATTAAAACTTTTTGATAATATAGGTAGATACTTAAAAATTTGTTACTAATCTTAATATCGTAATTACCAACGTGTTTGTCTTTATATTCTGAGTTTTGATATACAATAAAATTCAATAGGGTTGTTGAGTTCCTTGTCTATAATACTTATCAATGTTCTTTTCTACCCATATCTGTTCACAACCAAAGTTGCCGACAACAGATAACTATCAAATGTTTATTAATTAACAGGTTTCCAACTGAACCTAGACTAAAATTATGGCTAAAAAGCACAAAAATTGTGAATTTGCGTCCGAAATATAACGATTATCTTTGTTTTAAACACTTCACAGACTACTGATTTATTGGACATGAGAAACGCACCACTTTGAAAAAGTGCAGTATACCCACAATATTTTCTGGTAGTACCACTACTAGTAAGTATAAAAGTAGTAGATTATTATTTCGAGTGTTTATTATTTCTTCTTTCCTTATTTTCCCCCAGACTCAAGGGCCATAGCTAAGTGTAGAAAGGTCACCTGATGATGACTTTGTGTTTACAAGACGTAAGTTTGTTAAATCTGTATAATTATTATGACCAATTTATTGTATCAAGGGAATAAATTTATATTGCAACTGCAAATTTATTAATGTCCTTAGTGAGCTTAGGTGAGAAATAACTCCTCCCTAAACGGGTTCCTGCCACGACAAGGTGAGAACCCGTTCAGTGAGGTTTTCATGGCTCCACATATCGGGCTCGGGAAGTCGGTGAGGTCAAATAAGGAGGGGTCCTCGTTGCTGGGGCCGCGTATGTGATTGAAAGCGTTTCTGTGGCCTTGTCAATGTGTGGTGAACGTGGAACATCATGGGGTTTTAGTAGGTGCAAGTCCTACATAATCCGTTCCTGCCCCCGTAATGCAGGTATGCGTAGACATTTTCTCATTTGAAACGAATATAATGTAGATAGATCAACGCAGCGTAAATTCTTGTTTTACGAGTATATGATGTATAAAACTTGCGTCTAAGGCCTAGGTATTAATTGATAGATTGATTTATTGTATGGCATTACATTAATATGACACATAAATAGAATGGTTGTTAGGAGTAGGCCTGGGTATAGATTTTTTTTTATAGAAGAGGGGACAAACGAGCATGCGGCTCACCTGATAGTAAGTGACTACCGCCGCCCATGAACAACCGCAACACCTGGGGAATTGCATATGCGTTGCCGGCCTTTAAGAAAGGTGTAAGCTCTTTTCTTGAAGGTTCCTAAATCGTATCGGTCCGGAAAATTCGCTGGTGGTAATTGATTCCACAAGGAAGTTGTGTGAGGGAGAAAACTTCTTTTAAATCGCACAGTGGTGGACCACCAATCATCCAGATGGTATGGATGGCAACGCGAGTTTTGTCGCGATGTGCGATGGTGAAATTGAGCGGCTAGAATTAGTTCGAACAATTTCCCCGAGCACACCTCGTGATAGATGCGATAAAATACGCAAAGAGATGCAACATATCTACCCAGTGCCAGTGTATGCCAGTGTGAGCTGATCAGAAAGAACTCGGACGTCCACGATTCGAACCGCTCTGCGCTGGATGCGGTCAAGTGAAAGGAGCTGGCACTGGGGTGCCCCGGCCCAGAGATGAGAACAGTATTCCATGTGGGGCCGAATTTGCGCTTTGTAAAGTTGCAAGCGATGTGCCGGCATGAAATACTGTCTCGCTCTGCTGAGCACGCCAAGCTTTTTAGAGGTCAATTTGGCCTTCCCTTCCAAGTGACCACGAAACTGCACACTATTCGATATGTCGACGCCAAGGATTCCGATACTAGCTGAGGCAGCAAGGGGGTGCCTTGAAACTGAGAAGATACGACAAAGGGGTTCTTTTTAGCGGTAAACGCGCAAACTTGTGTCTTCTGGGGATTGAACTGGACTAGATTTAGTCGGCCCCAATCCGAGACTTTGTTAAGCAAAGACTCGAGTTCAGACACAAGTTTGTCCCGGTACTCGGCGACGTTCTACCGAGAAATATTGGCACGGCCGGTATATAAGGCATCATCAGTGCTGTCGTCTGCATAGCAATGAATGCTACGAGTTAGCAACATATCATTGATATGCAGGAGAAACAGCGTTGGAGAGTTATTATAAGTTTCGAGAATGTATTTCGTCGTTGTCGTTTAGTGAGAAACTAATACCAATGCTGCGTTTGAAAAATTTCATGACATGTTAGTATTTTTTTATAAACTATGCTTGCCCCTTATCACTATTAAAAAAGTAAACAAGGTAACAAAAAATAAGTGGATAACTAAAGGACTCAAAAGATGCTGCATAGTAAAAAGATGTATCTACTCACAACAAGAAAAATAAAAGACGTCAATACATAAAATATAGTAAAATACTAAAGAGATGTATTTCGGAAGCGCAAGAGAATTTTAACACTAAATATGTTTATCGGTCTAAAAACAGATGTAAGGCAACTTGGGATCTGATTAAAAACAAAGCCACTAACAAGAAAGATGTTGCTCATATTGAAAAAATTAGAGATAATAACAACCTGCTAATGAAACCAGAGGAAATTGCTGAAACATTCAATAAATACTTTATTAACCTTACAAATAAACATAACACCAATAAATATTTAATCCGAACAAAAACAGTTTCACTGTAAAGCATCGCGCCAAGTACACTTTCAACTATAGTTACAAAAATAATAATTACATTTTTACAAAAAATTATAAAATAAAAAGAAACCAAGTACATACCCGTTTTAGATTCGAAAAAAAATTTTGCTGAAAAAAGTAATAATAAAAAAATTATGTACTTGGTGTGCATTATAGGTACTTTATAGTACGAGCATCACTCAAAAAAGTAATAAAAAAACGACTTCCAATGTCAAGTTGGGTGATCGATACTCTTAATCATGCACACCAAGTAAGGTAATGGCACCTATAGATGACACATTAAGGATTTTTTTCTATATCTTGCACCGTGGAAACCACAAATTACAGAATTTCTCATGACTGTTAGTGCTCAAACAGGCTTTGAGTATTTGTCTATCAGCTAAAAAGTTTTCAGCGCCCTGCGTTTACATAGATGTAATGGAACTAATTTTTTTTTAATCACTCAATTGGCCCCTATAGATGACATTCAAAATTCGTTCGGTTCCTAAAGATGACAATGACGGCACCTAAAGATGACATAGGTTTCTGTGTAAATTAAAAAGCCAAATTAGCAAAAATAATAACACATTTATTTTAATTAGAATAAAGAAATTAAAGATTTGCAACCTGGGGCACATCATAAATTTCCCTAGTTGAACTAAATTTGGTGGGCGTTTTTATTTTGCCCACAACATCGTCCCAAGCATAAAATAACCGATCCTCCTGGTCCGAGAGCTCATGACGCATTTTTCATGAAGTGTTTGATGCATCATGAAACTTTGTTTAAAGGTATCAGTCGACTCAATAAGCAGGTATATGACTGTCTGCTTGGCCTACCTGGGTACACCTGGTACTGCGCATACAGTTAAGTCGAAAAAAAATTTGCCCAAAAAAAAGTGTTTGATTCAAATAATAATAATGACTATCCGTTAGCTAAGTTTATAAACAATTAAGAAAAAAAATGGCAGACACTTCTGAAGGGGTTTACATAGGGGCAGACCACAAAGTTGTATTTTCGAAAATTCCAAAAAAAGTGTTTGATTCAGTCTGCCATTTTTACAGCGTGTTTATTATGTATAATAAAATATTCTCACAAAAAGGCAGACAGTTTCTCCGGGGGTTACTAATTTAAAAATCATGGGCTATAGGAAAAAGTGAAAAGGTCATCCATCCCTGCTCACTTTTTCCTATAGCCCATGATGTGGGCACATTTACGGTGATATGGAGCGGAATACGTGTATAACGGAAGACTACCAAGGGTGGTGCAAGATCTCCATTAGCATTGCCCGTAAAGAGAACTGTAATGCACTCTTTCTCGTCATTACCAACCGCTTGATAAATATTTTTACAACCGCGTTCAGCCATAACTTTTCCGGCTTTTGGTTGCAAGAAAAATGCTGTCTCATCAGCGTTAAATACGCGTTTGGGGTCATCCAAGACGCTCGCCAATCCGTTTCCCTCTAAATACGTATAAACGTCATTCTTCCAGCCGTCTAATTGTTCGTTTGTTATTGAGCTCCTGCTCTTTGTTAAATTTTGGGCAACGCGATTAGAAATCCGAGGGTGTCTACTCATAAAACTGCCATACCAATTTTTGGATGGAACCCTATCACGGAAAATGTCCTTCCCTAATTGAGCGGCTAATCTTTGCATGCTTATTAAAAAGGTTCCTTTCGAAACGGGAAATCCTTTTCTCGCTAATTCAAGGACCCATTCCTCAATTTTCAG